AAAGATTATTTCAATTATTTAGGTTGCTAAATGAATCCATTTAAAATAGTACTATGTATAGACATACAGTTGTAGATAACAGCACAGTTTGACATCTTGAATTCTACTACAAACATTAGTTTCCATCCATTCATTTGCTAGTGATATAACAGCTACAGGTATGAGCACTTACTGGCTAAACCAGGGGCACCAAGATTTTCAGCAGCATTTTTTTGCTCCAATCGGCTGAGCAGGGGCATAAGGAGCAGGAACGTTGAAGAGGGTGGGGCTTAGTAGGGTGGGAAGAAGCCTTAGCCTGGGCCTCGGACATCTTTGTTAAACCACTGGCTAGTGGAAAGTTGATTGCATCCTGTAGTTCTCTGATTAGACAGTAGTAGTAGGTAACCTCACAGTGTATCATCTCAGGAATTCTTCAGTTGACCTAGTTATTTTAAGCTTTACATAGCAGCTGTTAAGTAAATGCTTTACAATTGGCTCACCTGTTACAGAAAATGACCCTTTGATGTCGGAGGTGTGTTTTGTAAATAGGATTCTGTCAATTAAATTAAAGTAAACTGTTTGTTTTGGTTTATGTAAACCATTATATTTTGGTCATATGTTTGTAACAAATCATAACAATGTCGAAATTAGCATAAGTAAGGGAAAGGTTTTTTTTGGGGGCTGAAGTAGAACCTCAGAATCGCAGTTTGGCAAACCTGAGAATTTGACCAACTCAGCCTAAAATTACAGCATTAGAAGCTATACAAATGTAGTGATATTAATTGAAATAGAACTGTATGTCCCAATGACAAACCTTCCAACTAAAAACTCTTTATTTTATAAGTGCAATTTGTTGAGATGATGCCAAATCAATTTGAATACCTTGTAAAACATTTAAAATTGAATTTAAAATCCTTAAAAATAATATATGTTAAATCAAAGAAGATAACTTTCAAAGTTAAAAGCTGATAAAACTTTATTTGAGCAAGAATTATTGATCTAGTCTAGTATGCTCTTTGCAACAAATACAGACAATTTTGACTTTCGTACAGTATTATTTTGCTGCTTGTTTCGCTGGAACCTTGACAAGCTTCTCTACCAGCATAGAGCCTTACCAACCATTCAGAGCGAGATGCTACTGTAAACAAAAAAGTTAAACTCTGCATTAAAAATTTTCTCAATTATGAACAATGTTCAAGATTCAAGATTCAACTTTTTTCTGATCCATTACTGGAAATTCCATTTGCTTGCATACATATATAAAAAAACATACAATTCACAGTATACAATTATTAAAATCATTGGTTTAAAGTTATAAAAATTGAGAATTATTACAATTGTTATTGCTATTTAATTATTTATCTAATAATTATTTCATCTATGGTTAAGGTTGAAAAATTAAACGGTTTTTAGATGGAGGGTTATGTACTTGGGAAATGTTACTGTATTAATAACTTCAAGGCCTATAGGATGACTAAGATCAGATGGTTTGTTTAACTTTGGGATTAAATGAATAGGTACAGTGACTTTTGTAACAGTATATTTTGTATAAGAAAAAAGTCTAAAAGTAAAAATATTTTTAGGTACACTCACTTTACATTTGTGAACAAAGATGAATGTCTAGCCAACGTATTATTAGGATAAGGTACTTACGAAGAAAAAAAATTGAAAACGTTAATATACACCCACCAAACCTACACTACAATGTAATGCTGTATATTAACTCACTATGATGCTTAGTGAGTGGAGATGTATTTAGTTGTGAGAAAAATTTCTTGAGTTTTCTGGATTTAACTAGATTTGAACCCTGTGCCCTGGGATTGATAGAAAAGCATCTTAACCACCCAGCTACAACAGGGGTGGATCCAGAATTTTTCAAACGGGAAACGGGGCATTGAGAATTTTAAAATTTAATGGCAAAACGTGCCCCCTATTGCATCAGCCCCTGTAACTACAATGCTAATCCATTTGTTAGAACATACATTTTTGTGTGCTGAACAAAATTATTTTGTTATGCTTTTCAACTTTAAACCAAAGTGTGATATTAAGGTCAAAATAATTAATCTAATTAATAAAGAATAGTGTAATAACCATGTATTTCAATATGATTTCCTCATTCTTAATTGCAGTCCCCAATAGTGGGACAGCATTGATAAATTAGTTGAGATTAGTATCAGTTATAAATAGCATGTTACCAAGCATATCAATATTGGCATTTGATGAAAAGATAGCAAATATCCACAACTTGAAGGTAAGTCAGCTGAAAGTAATACATATAGGCCTACGGTAATTGTTTTTGTCATCAAGGCAGTAGTGGGATGGGGAGGTCCCCAGTTTGGGAAGAGGTTTTCCACCTTCATAATTTGTCAGGGAGAAAAATATCCTTTCTTATTTCTAAACTTCTTTTTTGCTAATCATAATTTCCATAAATTATAAGGTAAATGTTATGAATAACTGCAGTGTGTTAGTTTTGCTCTGTTTACTGTCAGTTGTAAGACTAACATTTTGTATGTGGAGACCTTTCTATCCTGGAACCCCAACCCACGCAACAACCTACTGGTGGTACCTGTTATCTGTGTTTTGTGGTTTGTATCAATCCTTTTAATTTTATCAAAGCAATCATTCAGTTGTCAAACTCAATAATCATTGATTAGGGCTTATTTATACATTTTTTTGGCCAGTAGATCATTGAATTTGAACATTAAATTGATAGAGGTCATTGATAGATATATGCCCAGGCCCCTATCCAGAGGGTGCTAGTGCACCTCCTTCCAAATTGGAAAGTTTATTGTAGAACATGTTATATTTTCATTGCAGATTTTTTGGGCTCAGTACGGACTCCAAAGTATGCATTTTCTTTTAGTTTTATAGCGTATGCGGATTTTATAAGTCCGCAATGACGATATAACGTGTTGTAGCTAAAAAAGAAAAAAAAAACCTTCACTTTCAAATCATTTTAAATTCAATGAAGCTAATTAGTGAAACTGTAGTTTTTTTTTCTTAAGATGTCCTCAACGCATTGGTGTTATTCGTAGATTAAGATACTTTTTACCAAATTCTTCTCTTAGACTTTTAGCAAATTCTTTTGTAGTACCTTTTTTCAATTATTGTAGTACTGTATGGTCCAATTGCACAGCTGTGCACCTTAATATTAGAACACCTGTTAATGACCTTATGGAATCTCTTATTAACTGGAAGGATGTAAACCAACAATGGGAATATAATATTCTTTTAATGACATTTAAATGCTTATCGGGCACTGTTCCTGAATATTTAACTAATTTTTACAAATTAATTGATACTTACCATAGCATAAATACAAGAAGTAAATTGAAAAACACTTTAGTCTTACCACAATGGCGAAATGATTTTGGAAAAAGAACATTTAAATATCGTTCTGTTAAATTATGGAATAATCTATCATCAGACCTTCGTAGCAATATTCACTTTCCTTACAATCCTTCAAAAATCTCATTTAATTTCCCATTTGGTTTTTTTCTTTTCTGTTTCTTGTATTTATATAATCATATATATGTATATGTATGTATGTATGTATATATATATATGTGAATCATATATATGTATATGTATGTATGTATGTATATATATATATGTGTATGTATATATATATATATATATATATATGAGTATAATATATATATGTGTATATATATATATATATATATATATATATAATTTGTCAGTATAAATTTATATTTAATGTATCTTTTTACTCAATTTTGAATCCTTTTTTAATTATTTTCGCTTTTAATCCTTAAGAAATGTTTTAATTATTTATTATGTAATTCAAATTATTCAATATATATTGTTTTTATATTTTTATGCATTTTTCTTTTAATTTTATTTTGTAATAAAGTGTAGTTTAAGATAATACCCTGGACCTCAGGGAAGAACAGTGTAACAATACTGACTGAGTATCCAGAATAAAGAAAGATTTATATTCTATGTTCAAATCTTGTGTAATATTCTATGTTCAAATCTTGTGTAATATACAAACCTCATGTAGAAGGATTATTATTTGTCTCTTTTGATTTATCATGCTAAGAACCAAACTTTGATTTAGGAATTGAGAAAATAAATTTCAAGGTTTGGGGACATTTATTTGATTGTCTGTCACATTATTTTCCCTCCCTTGAGAAAGTAACAACTGGAAATTGGGGGAAAGGGGGATTAAACAAGTGTTTCTCCATATGTACAAGTTATTTCTACTTTTGATGTCTAGACCTCTCAACAACCTAGCTAACATTGAAATGCATTATAACTTTGTGGGGAACTAAAGTAGAATATTTCATGTAGATTTCTAAACCAAAATATTTTTTTTTTCATCAACTGCCAATAATTACATATAGAAATAGTTTTCACTGATTTACTGATGTTTTACTACACAAATCATTTAAGATGCTATGCAAAGTGCAAGATGGTAGCTTTAAGTTATACCATTTCTACGGGCTTGTCAATTGGTGAAGATTTTTTTTTTTCCTAATAATTTATAAAACTTAATTATACATGTCTGAGCTCTCTATGTCAAGGCAAATGTACCCAGTTGTTCAAGTTGGGGGACACAATGCATTGACAACCATTGGCTGCTAAATTCATCCATTTGAGTATGCATTGCTGTCTGCTGATTATTAGTGCCTGAGTAGATCATCATTAGAAAACTTCAGTTCTGCACGAGCCATAATGTTAATTCTCTATAAAATTATGTTAGCTGATGACTTGGCACAGTCTGTGCCCGTCTTTTTGCAGGCCATCTTGGTAGAGTTTCAGGAACACAACATGGTTGTGAATGATCACATGCGAGTTTTGCTTAATTTGGCCTGCTTGTCCAATTGTTTCTAGTGTATTAAAATAAAATATTTTATTCTTCTTTATTTGTAACTATGAAATGAAAACCCTTATAAACCTTAACTTGTAGTAAGCCTTAAACACTGAATGTAAACCTCATGAATTTTTTATAAATGCAATAATACACATTATTTCTTTGTTTTTTTTAAATTTAGTCCTCCATGTGTAGGAGAGACAAAGAAATACCAGTCCTGTAATATCCAGGATTGTCCGGCTGGATCTCTAGACTTCCGTTCTGTGCAGTGTGCCAAGTACAATGACGTCCAATTCCAAGGGAAGACCTACCACTGGGTGCCCTATAATGGATGTAAGTAGTACAAAATTTAAAGGTATACTGTTTCTTATGAATTATTTCTATAATATTGAAATATTGCATGTTTGAAATGAGGTCATGAAAATGTTCATCTTACAATGCCTGCTACTTTATTTAAATTTTTTGTAGGCCTATAGATGTTATCACATATAAACATGTTATAAATAAATGGAGACGGCATTGATATTAAGTACCCATTCCATTCTGTCTCTTGTATACCTTTTTTGAAAGAGAATGTTAGAATTGAAGTTTATGAAGTGGTTCTTTTTTTTTTTATAGATTTGTCGATCTTCAGTGACAACAAAAGCCTTTTGTAAAAAATCAGTACATGGTCATTATTCCTTTTATCATAACCAAAAATCCCAGATGATTATTCATAGAAGGTGTATAGAAACGTTAAAAAAAGCTGGTCATGTTTAAGTGTGTGTTCACACACTGTGCAAACACACTGTTACTTGTATTTACTGATCGTGTTTACCTTGTAATTGAACTTGGCGCCACTTGTCAAATATCTGATTTTAAAATTCATAAATGTACCGAAAATAGGTCAATGCTTGAGTTATAACAACAAACGCTGTCGAGCCTGATGAATAAAATTTAACAATTATTGGAATAAAAAAAAATCAATTAACAAATTCATTAGAATGAAAATTTATTCTCATGAAAAATGTTTATATAATTGAAGGATTGGTTAAATGAATATTTAATTGCTTCCAAACTCAACTTTACGCACATTATTCACAAGCAAACTTTAAAGTTGCATTGCATTAGCCTCTGTTAAACCCCCTAGAATATAAAGCATCCATTCTTTAGTGCCAAGGCATAACTCATTGTGAGAAAGAAACTTTAAAAAGACAATAATGTATTAGAATAAATGCTGTTTGGAGTTTATTATGGACAAGGGTTTTTGAGGGGCATTTATCCAAGGGAGGCATATTTTTTTTGTTGTATAATAGATACCTGTACTAATAAATGCCCCTTAATTTCACTGTAAATGTGTAACTACTGTACAACGCATAAATTGCCATTAATATGTTTTATTGTATGAATGAAGACTCATTGATCCTACCATGTTAGAAAAAGTATTAATTAGTATTAATAGAATGTGTTGAGAATTATGTTGCTTCCATTAGTTTTGTTTACAGTCCTTTAGGGGGGACATTTATATAAACCCTGGGACGTTTTTGAGGGAAGCGTTTATTCCAAATGAGGCTCTGGATGGGGAATTTATTAAAGGGTGGCGTTTATTCAAAGTGGGTGTTTATTCAAATACGGTAAATACAGTCATGTCATTTACATTTGATCAATAATTTTCTTCCTAACAATTTATTTTTTTCGAGTTTATGTATATGTTACCAATTGTATAATCTTCTTTAATTATTAATAATTACATTTTATTCATCAACTAGTATCTGTTTTTTTTTCATTTAGCTCCAAAGGAATGTAGTGTAGTGTGTATGCCTAAAGGAGAACATTTTTATCTGTTTTTTTTTCATTTAGCTCCAAAGGAATGTAGTGTAGTGTGTATGCCTAAAGGAGAACATTTTTATCAAGATTTTAAAGAAAATGTTGTCGATGGAACCCGGTGTTACCCAGAAGACCCCAACTCACTTGACGTGTGTATCAATGGAGTCTGCCAGGTAAGTAATCAATGTTAATATGCAAATGAGAGTACCTGTATTCAAATTAGATTAATGGTTAGGCCTAAAAAAATGGTTTGCTGTCACTTTGTAAATATTTAAGTGAAGGGCCGGGCGGAAAAAGTTGTTTTTTTTGTTTTGTTTTTTTAAAAGAAATATTACCAACAATTTTTTTTTAACCTTGAAAAAAAACCCTGCCCCTCATTTTTCTGATTTTAGGGGCGGCGGATGACGGCAAACAAACAAGTTTTTTTTTAGGCCTTATGTTTTGACAATTTGAAAGCACTGTGCAATAGGTTAAATTTTATTAATTGTTATGGATCTAATTGACAGGGGTGGAAAAAGTGCGCAACCGGCGGTCGGAGGCATTGACCTTTAACCCTGAGACATTTTAGAAACAAAAAAAAAAATTTTTTTGCTCGTCAAAAATTCATGCATAAATTTAATATTTTTGCTTGCTTCAAACCACTAATAGTGAAAAAGATAACATTTGGTCATAGAGGCATTTGATCAAGATAATCTTCATAGTCAGAGACAAATTTTTTTTTTCTAGGCCTGCTCATTGAAGTGAATTTTGAACTTTTTGGATTAACGATGGGCACTCTACCACTTAGTCATTACTCCTTTACTCCATCTCTTTGTAGGATGTTAGCCTCTTGATGATGATACCCAAGTGATGTAGTTTTTTTTCACAGGATTTAGTGGTCAGGACATTGGACCATCAATTGAGATTTCTTTTAACATTATTTGTGTGACCATGAATGTCAATTATGTCTGTTTACACATTTCTTTCTAATGATTTAGACTTGCAAAGCTGAATAAATCCACTGTACTTTTACTGAATCCAATCGATTCAGAATCTGTTGAAGTTATCAGACAAAATCCTTGTTGGATTTAATAACATTTTCTCATTCATAAATATTGACAAGGATAAATTAAAAAATGTGTTACAGTGAATTTGTGATGGTTTAAGCATTGAGTTAGTGAACAGAGCGGTTACTATTTTCTGGCGGTTACAGAGCCCGCTCAATGCATCTCTTTAGTAGTATATCTCAATATTGGTCCAAAATTAAATAAAATGTGTACAAAAATTATTTTGTATTTATAGTTTGATTCATTCCTCTCCTCTTCATCTTTATTTGTGTTTTCAAAATCCTGCCACAAAGTAGTGAATAGTCCAAATACCAAAATGTGGACTATGTAGTGTACAACAATTAGGTGAACCTAGCCTTTAATAGTTTTAGAACATTTTTTTAGAAAAGGCAATGTCATACATGCTAAAACGGGTACCTTGTATTGTAGATTGTAGTACATTTTGATAATGAATTCTTAAGATTTTGATTGTGAGGAAAGAACAAATTATTTTATTTAAGCTGCAATTGAGCTATTTGATTTTTAATATGATTATTAAAATCCTAAGTAATTATCCAATATGTTATTATATTAGGTAATAAGTATAACACAGTTTGGTTTCTAAGTTGTATTTATTGTGTTAATGATTAAAATCAAATTGAATCTTGTGAAAGGCATCATAAATAACCTCAGATGTTTATATGTTCAACAGAATATGAGAATACTCATTCTAATTATTTGTATTTTTCTGAAACAAATCATACAAATATCCATTTCTAATTTAAGGAAAATCTATTTCAAAAGTTTTGAAAGGAAAATTCAGAAAAAGCACAATGTAAACGTTCTGTGAAATGACCTAAAAAAAAGTGTAAATACACCAAATGTAGTTAAAGGTGTTAATTATTCTAAAATCCAGTGTAAACAGATTCTTAATACCATATGAAATTACAACATCCAAAAATAAATCTTAAGCGTATATCAAACAGTACATTATTACTGGGAAAAATAAACTGCATGGAATTTGGCAAATAACTACAGGTTGGGATGACAGTAAAAAAATTGTGTTGCAATTCAACAGTATGGTGATATGCTAAAGGTAAGGTGTAATTGTACAGTCAGTACTGCAGATGTAACACATATTGTGACAACAGAAATTCCTATTCGCTCAGTAAACATTACTTGTACTCTGTATTTAGGTTTATTACCCTGGTGGTTTATTGAATTCTTAGCTAGTGCTACTTAGGTTTCAACCAAGCAGAACTCTATTCCGAATCATGATCTCTGTCAGAAAAACTTAAATATATGCATTTATGTGTTTAAAGAAATTGTTTATATGGAAGAAATTCTGGCTACTTTTATTCCTTTTAATGTTGCTTATCTGGTTGGAAATTTGAACAAGGAAAAAAAATGTTCTTACCAAATACCATGAATACTGCTAGTTACCGGTACCCTTAAATTTCTACCAGCCTGTAAATCATTGAAACATTTTATTTTATAGTATACTTATGACTTACAGTATGTGGTTGTTTTAAACATGCCTTCACGATGAGCAATTTTTTAATGGTTTTTTTGGTGTGGCACCAGTAATATCGTAAATAATGCTACAGACAGTATATTTTGATTCAGATTCAAATTTATTCAATATTTTATTCATTCATATAATAAAGTTCATCAGGTATAAAGTAGATACAGTACTTTATAATTCTAATTATTATTAATGTTCAAGATTTCTGACTACAAATACAATGTTTTGTTTGGTAGCAACTGTATTATAATTCATAATTCATAATTTTATTTCACTCAAAACATAATAATGAGTCTGGTAGGCTGGTATTAGGAACTTATTTCAGACTCACAGTACTTAGTTGGGTTGCCAATTTGGCTAAATAATTAAATTTACATTAGATTATTATCATTTGTTCCTGGCTTGTAATCATTATTGATCTCAAACTATAAAAATGTATCTATCCTATTGGATTTATTAATATTTATTCCTCTGTTAATTAGCATTGACAGTAATATTAATAAGCATTGAAAGTATTATGTATTAATGGCCATTGATAAGCATTGATTAATATTAATGTATTATAAGGAAATTTGTCAAACAGA